TTGCTCATTTTTGTTATTTTTTTTTTTTTAATGTTTAATTTTAATAAGACACTTTTAAGATTAAGGATATTATAAATAATTTATAGTAGTCATGTATAGGAGTTTTTGGAACCGTCCATGGCCCTATTGGCTATGTTACCGTACAAATTGAAAATAAAAAAATTGAAGATTTTATACATAATTTTCATATAATTGAAAAGAATACAAATTTGATGTACTTGCTTCTGGGCGAAATTCGATCGGATATACCGAAATCCATTCCATTTGGACGAATATAACACGTATGGCGAATAAATAAGAATAACAGAATAAAATTTAAATCGGAGGAAAATATATATAGGAGCTAAGGCATTATATATGGAAGCTATATTCAAATCAGATCCGATTATCCCCAATTTTAATAGGGCTCGTCCTTGGGTCAAATGATTTGTGGAAAATTTAATCTTAATCAGACAATAAATACCACGGCAGCGAGTTCTACGATACCGGATTGACCCGAAACAACACGATCCCAGTTTCGACCAGCGGCTGCCAACCCAGTATGTACATGTTTGTGTTTGTTTATTTTTCTGCATTGGGAGCACCATATCCCGGAATGCTTGCTCCGGATTTTATTGGTCTGTGTCGGGATTGAGGAAAACCCCGGATCTTGGTTCTGTTCGGTTTGTCAGAACGTCAACCACCACAGATCTGTTTCGGTGCGATGTAATGGATGTAGAGAATGGGTGCACTTCAAGAACTGTTCCGGACTAAGGCGTTTGTGAGACTACAGCGAAAGGGATTATGTTGCGACTTGCTGCAGTAACGTCGTCCCCAGCAAGTCCACTTCTTCGTCGTCCTCATCAGAGTCGTCGTCGGAGTATGGCACTTCACCGCAGTAATAGCTGTGAACCGCGTTATTTGCCTGATATTAGCCCATTATTGGTAGGCAATAACCGCCTGGTACTAGGGGATTTTAATGCCCACCAGGTATTCCGTCCTAGGTAATGACCAGAGGGGATCAGCGCTGGCAGAGCATATTGACTGCTCCACATTCTGCGCGATAACGAGGACGCCCCCACCCTAATAAAAGGAGAGTGTCACAGTTGGCCAGACTTAACCATAGTGTCACCCGGTCTGATAAATGACGTGACTTGGCAACCCGTCATTTCAATCTCCCGATAATCGTCTCCATAAGCAGGTCGCCCGATTTCATAACCTCTGAACGCCGCACTTTCCGTAACCATGGGAAAGCTCACTGGGCAGAGTTCAGAGAATTCAATTCTGTTGGGGTAGCAGAAAGGATTTTCCGAAACATCATCAAAGCTGCAGCCGCTCGCTTTTTACCTGCTGGTCGAATACCCGAGATAAGATTAAACTTCCCAGCAGAGGCAAACGAGCGTGATGATCTCCGTCGTACCAACCCTACTGATCCTGGAATCAGTGATTTGACAGTGGAAATCAACCGGTTTGTACAGGAGCATAAGAGGAAAAAGTGGCAAGACCACCTGAAGTGTTGCAACATTGGAACCATATGAGTAAGCTGTGGGTAACGGTTAAGTCGCTCTCGAACCCTGGGAAAAAGAATGATAGGACCTTAGTCACTTTTAACGACGTAACGGTAACTGATACGAAGAGGTGCGCAGAGTTTTTTGACCGACAATTTTTCGAGCACCCCGTGAGCGACAGGGCGAAGCGAATGATACGTCGTATCAGATCTCTTCCCGCCGAGGAGGAACCACCACAGTTTACGATGGGTGATGTTACAAATGTCATCCGTAACGCTGTCATCCAAAGCGTTGGGCCCGGACGGAATCTCAATGGTAATGTTGAAGCAGCTGGATACGCCGGGAGTCGAGTACTTAACGAAAGTTCGCAATTTGTCGCTAGCCACCCACATAGTGCCCGAAACCTGGAAAATGGGCCGGGTGGTCCCGCTACTGAAGCCAGGTAAGGATGCCAGTAAAGGTGAATCGTACAGGCCGATTTCGCTTTTGTCGCCAGTAGCTAAGACTCTTGAGGCTTTACTCCTCCCCAGCATTAGAGGAGGCTATACAGTTGCCAACCACCAGCACGGATTCCGTCCACAACATAGTAACACAACAGCATTACACGCCATTTCCACACATATTAGTAGAAGACTGAACCAGAACAGGCCGTGTGACAGAACAGTGTTGGTAGCCCTTGACCTATCAAAGGCATTTGATACGGTCAATCATGCCACACTGTTTGAGGACGTGCAGAGAAAATGTTGGCCAAGTTTGAAATGTTGGATAATCAACTATATTTGTGGACGCCAGTCGTACGTCGAATTCCGGAACAAGAAGTCCAAAGCCTGTAGAGTGAAACAGGGAGTTCCCCACGGTGGGGTGATATCTCCGGAACTGTTTATCCTATACCTTTCCGGAATTCCTCGCCCTCCAGACGGCATTGAGATCGTAACGTATGCGGATGATTGTACATATGTGAAAGGCTAAACCCCTATCTCGCGGAGCTTGCCGCATACTTCCACGCGAGGAATATGAAAATATCCGCCACCAAATCAACGGCCAACTCTTTACCACATGGTCTGCGGAGATGAGAACACAGCTAAATGTGCAGGTCGAGGGGAATCTAATACCAACCACGAACTACCCCAAGATTCTAGGGGTCACGTTCGACAGCACGTTCAAGTCGTCCGCGCAAGCCACAGCTATCTGCGACAAGATGAAAAGTAGGAACAAGGTCCTCAAGGCGCTAGCCGGCAGCACTTGGGGTGCGGACAAAGAAACCCTGTTGACCTCTTATAACGCGATAGGTCGGTCTGTCGTCAGCTATGCAGCTCCAGTGTGGTCTGTGAATACTAGTGCTACGCAGTGGAAGAATATCCAGACCTGCCAGAACGTTGCCCTGAGAACTGCGACAGGGTGCCTTCATCATGACACCAGTGGACCATCTACATGAGGAGGCGAAAGTCCTTCCCTTACGTCAGCATAATCATATGCTTTGGTTCTGCAACTGTTTGGGTGTCACCGCGAGAGTCATCCCAACCATCATATGGTGGATAAATCTCCCCCACCCAGGCGTGTCAGGAAGGACATACATGATACATGGTCCAGCGCTACAAGAGAACCTCTAGATCAAGAAGCCTATCAGGCAAGTCTGAGTGGCATTCATACCGATGCAATCGCAGATGCTATTAGCAACTATGAAATGAATGCCGTCCTCGGAGTCCACCCCCATCCATTGTAGCCAAACCTACCCAACTCTCTGGCTACAGCCCATTAAAGTAGCCCAATTTCTAAACTTGGAGCTGGAACCAGATTAGCAGAACGCAAACACATTCATGTACTACTGCTACAACAACAACCTGACAGACGGACGGACATGCCTAAATCGACAAAGATTGTGATTCTATGAAGATTATCAAGAGCAACTATGGGTCTATCTCGTTTTTTTCCGCTTGTTACTTACAAATGTACATTATGTCCCGCTCTACAGTGTGGCGTAGGGTATAAAAATAGTTCATGTGAAAATTATATAGAGGCGCGGCTCACTACAGAAACATGTTAACATAAAAACCCAACTACGGAGTTGCATTATGAATGCAATTGAATAGAAAATAAAAGAATTTTGGTTCAAAATTGAATCACATTAACATTTTTGTTAACGTTGATACCATCGCCGATAAATTCACCTGGTGTCAATATTTTGAATTCGCCATGACATTTAAAGCGCTCTACAGATCACAGTTATGGACCGATTGTCGTGAAACTTCTCAGGATATTTAAGTTAAAGAAGGTGTAGAAGCCAACCACAACATATTGGAAAATATTTAGCGGCGAAACGCGCTAGAATTTTGGGTAAAAATGGCAAAATTAGCTTTATATCCTGAATATACTTAATGGTGAAGCTTACCTCGAGCAGTGATGTCAGCAGTAATGTCAGATACAGCTAGTAAATACATCTGCATATTACAAAACTGTTTCGAGCTCCCATTAAGCAGGGGGATTCGTTTATTCTAGCCAAGAGTGTTTCAATTTTACAGAAAACCAACCGCAAGTTACTCGAAAAAAAGAAAATTGGATAAGTTTTCGTTGTCAGTACAGGAAACAGGATTTTTCTCTGAGAGCCAAATATCTCGCTACGCCCTGAACGATCATTTAAACTAGAGTTGGAACATCGAGAATCTTCCAAAAATCTTATTACAGTCTTATTGCACTCTATTTACGCAAGAACGCCATATGGAAAGGCTAGGGTCAGACCACAAGTCGTACATTGGGTGTGTCACAATGGTTTTACCAGTTCTGACCTATGGGTACTTCTTATGATGGCATATGTTTAAGCCCAATTTAACCACCGTCCAAAGAGCCGCGTCCTTTCCGACTAAAATTAATCATTGCATGTCCACCTTTTCGTCTTCATTAACATTAATTAATACCCACTCTTGGCCTGGATGTGAACCTTCTCTGTACGGTTTGGCACCTGTGCTGGCATATTCTACCCAAGTCAAGTTATTGGATGCTTGTGTAAACTTAATGTCGGTAGTCAAGCGGTAAAGTCTTTCTTTCGCTATTTCCACATTACTTTCCTTAAAGGCTTCATAAATACGATCACTTGTATTCAAATACGATGTTGAAATATGAAAAAGAAATTGCTCTCTCATGACTCTATGTCAACTGCTTCGTAATAAAATACTACTTAATTTTGATCTATACCGATGGTCACTGAGTGAAGTATAGCTTTAAATCTTAATTGCACCAAATGCTAAATTGCACATAATATATTATATAATATACAATATTATATTAAGGATAACATTAACAACATTTTTATATTGATCTTAAAACACTGTCCAATAATAACATTTGTATTTTCAAAACAAAACTGTTGTATTCTACCAATTTTCTTGACAATATTATCATTGATAACAATTAAAATAATATTGCTAAAATTTGGGGGGGCACATAATTTATATTATTTGATGTCTGTTATGATAAGTAATAAATGGTTAAATAAGATTAATATATTTGGGCACTTACTTTTTTACAATCCCCAGGTAAGTTGTAACATCCACATCCTTCAAATCCTGATATAAATGTTGTATTTCAGTGGTTACACATGTCCATGTGTCTGTGATTATTATTGAATACTTTCAAAATCTGTTTAAAAATGAAAATAATTAAATCTTTTCTAGCAATAACAGGTTTTTTATTTAAATATTAAAGTTTTAACATGAATCTATCGTTGAAGGAGTAAAAATTTAAGCGAACACCACGATCGAATTGTCAAAGATTAAAAAAATCAAACAATTTAAAAATTCCTCCTTACAATTTATACCCTTTATAATAATTTATATTGACTAAATATATGCTGAGTTCTTATTTCATTATTTGTGCGATATATATTATATTATATATGACATTGGGAACTTGTTATACCAAATAAAACAATCCGTTCAAAAAAGATGTGGTTAACAAAACATGCGAAAATAAAAAAGATATAAAAATTTGAAGCTATTAAATTGAAAAAAACGTTTAAATACTCAAAATATTTGATATAGTAAGGTACCTCATTAAGTGTGCCTCAAACGTGGCCATATATAGACAATTTTCTGTCAGAGAAAATAGTACCTGTTGCGAACTCCACATAACCATTTTACAATTCTGCTGAAAATTTTAGCATAATCATCAAAATACCAAATATTACCACAACTTGGACCTAAATGTGGACAGTTTATTGCACTTATAAGTGAATTTAGAGTCTGAGCAATCGGAAGATCAATCGAGAGTCATCAGTCGAGAGTTATCAGTCATTTCATTATACATTCAGCCATATAGCTACAGAGGGTATATATCATTTGATACGGCCAAAACATGCCTAGTCGAAATAATGGTTTTAGACCCTATGTCTCTTTGGACCATATCTGTTTCAGGATATTTGGAGTCGATCTAGTGTTGTCCGTCCGTCTGTCTGTCTGGCTGGTGTGCACGATAACTCTCGAAGGAAGTATCCGATTTGGTCCAAACTTGGTACATCGATATATTTTTATCAAACTTAGATTGAGTTCGGCGATGGGCAATATCGGTGCACTCCTTCTGGTACATTCCCCACGAAATTTTCAAAAAATATTTTTTGCATACAAAGAGAAACAATAATACGATTTTGCTCCAACTATGCCTAATATTTTCGTCAGTGATACGTCATGTGCGAAAAGGGAAAATACTTGATGGAGTGGACCATCAAGTATCTCTCATACAAAGGGTCAAAATTTTGAATAATTACAACTCTTATAAAATGTGATGTAAGAGTCCGATTGTCTTCAAATATCACACATCCCAATAATTTTATTAGCCAAGGTCTGGTGCCAAGAAGGGAAACATCGGTCCACTCCTTTTGGTACTTCCCTCACAAAAGGTCGAAATTTTCAAAAAAAAAAAAAAAAACAAATGTATTTTCTGCACAGAAAGAGAAGCAATAATCTGATTTTGCTCCTAATTTACATATCCTAATATATTTGCGTCATAACTCTTACAAATTGTGTCTTAAAATTTCGCACATCCCAATATATTTTTATTAACCCAAGATTTGGGGTTAAGATGGAATATATCGGTCCACTCCTTCTGGTACCTCCCCCACAAAAGGTCAACATTTCCGATTCCATTCAGACTTGGCATATCTGAATATTTCTATCAAAAACGGTAGAGATCGATACCTCCCCCACAAAGGGTCACACATCCCATTATGTCCACTAACAAAAAATCTTTTGTGAAATGGTATATATCGGTCCACTCCTTCCGGCACCTCACCCACAAAGGCTAACCATTTTGAATACCCATGAAGCTCATAAAAAGCGAAATTAAAATACGATTCCATTTAGACTTGGTACATCTCAATATATCCATCAACACAAGATCTGTTGTAAAGATGGTGGAGGTCGGACCATTTCTTTTGCTACCTGTTCCACATAGGGTTCCAGATTTTGAAAAACAAAACGCTCAATGAAAGCGAAATAAGCATTCAACACTCTTCAAATTTCACACATACAAACATTTTTGTTAATACAATATCTGATGTGCAGATGATATATGTCTGTGAATCCCTTCTGGTACCTCACTCACAAAGGGTCACAATTTTCAATAATTTTATCTGTCATAACTTGCCAGAAACCTGCTATGAATATGGAATTTATGATTTTCCATAAATTTCCAAAATGATCTTGTAATATTGCCCATACCAATATTTTTATATGTATTAGATGAAGCATGAAAATGGAATACTTCGGTCGACTATTTCTGATGCCTCACACGCATGTTAACATTTTCTAAAAATTACCATACTATTATGTAAAGTGAAGGAAGTTACCAATATAGTCGCAATATTTATATCATATTTATTTAGGTCCGATACGAAATTACCATTATTGGCCCATTCCTTCGGAACCTACTCCATAAGGGGTTAAACATTTGAATAATCATAACAGAAGTCAAAATATTTTTAAATAATCGTACATTAGCTGAGGGTATACATCTGTTAACTTGTTAAAAAAAAGTCGAAGGTCAACAAAATTGATGTCAAATTAAAGCTGACACTATTACTGTTTCAAAATACTATAAATTGGGATAATACCTTTTTCGGGTCCAGAAGGATTTTCGGGTCAGAAATCTGGAGGCCCCGGGTCCGTCCACCAAAAAAAAAATAGTTTCCCGGAATCAGGGTAAAAATACCTATCTCTGGAAAAAAAATCGAAGAGTTTTTACTAACAATGTTTATGCAGTGTGGAAAAGTCCTCAGAATCCCGAGGAATTATGCCGTTGTTACCTAGTCCGCACAAGATGTAACTCCGAAGAGAATTTTAGCCGTTTGAATTGAGATACACCCTAACTGTCTTAAATCATTGAGTAAAAAATTCCCGTATTTGTGAATATTTTTTTAGAAGGTAAATTTTCTTACCCTGATTACGATATTTTAAATTTAACAAACGGAAGTTCGCAGTGTTGGAGAACAAAATCTTAAGGCATAGCCGAGGACCGGGAGTTTCTAACATGTTGTAACAAATTTAGTACCGTTCTGAATTAAGTTTTATTGAACGTCGTATCTAGATACCTTGTACCTTGGGAGGTAACGTAATATGGGATATATACCGAAGTATATATCATCGAGCAAACCCAAATAACAAATTTGAACCAAATCATATGTGGCCGCTAACCTAGGCATGGAACTTTATTGAAATTTTACTGTATAAAATTCGACTCAAATTATAGCGCATCTTTAAAAAATATAGGGTGATTTTTGAAGAACAATAGAAACACTTTTGAAACGATCCATCTGCTTAATCCGACTTATGACATACTTTTTCGAACATTTCGGTTGTTATTTCCTATCAAAAAGTCCATTGTTACGAGTGCTGTGTTGCACCGTCTTGTTAAACCAAATGTCACAAAGTACATCTCTTGCATTTTGAACAAAAAATTGGATATCATTTTACGGTAACGTTCACCATCTCATGATACGATTTAATGAACGATAAACCGCACCAAACTGTGATTATCAATTTTTTATTTTCACCCCCTCTAAATGTTAATAGACCTACGCCCTTATTCTAACATAAATAATTGTGTGCAATAAACGAAACCTTTATCCAAAATAATTTTTTCTCCGCCCAACAACTCTAACAACTGTAATAAAATCGTTAATAAAAGAATTTCAGCTTTCACTGTCATCCAAAATTCTGTTTGTGTGCTTTCCCGTTGCCATAATTGTGGGTGATGTTGTAAGACATTCCTCCACTAATGGAGGAAAATACGAAAAACAAACACAAACGGTGTTGTGTAAGCTGACTGCTCTCCTTTCTGCAAAGGATGGGGAACGGATGGTAATTTGTCTTACTGGATTGGGAAAAACTATGTCAAAACCGGAATTGTTTGCGTTCTCATAAAAACATATACACTTTAACCACTAGATAATCGATAAATTGGCATAGATGAATCATGGGCTGAAAAAAAAAATAATGTCGTATTGTGTACCCTAAAAAAATTTTTTGGCGATTATTTTAATTATTTCCATAAAAAAATTTATAAATAAAACCCTAAAAAAATACTGACAGTTCTGTTTCGAAAAATGTTTACACTGTCAAATGTATTACAATATAAATTAGTACAAACGGTCAAAAACTGAATTACGAAGTCACTCCGGATAGTTTCGCAGAACAATCGAACATATTGATGGCAGTAAAACTTCCTAAAGCACTGTAGCATATTTTAAGCAGAACTACTATCTATAATAGCGACATCATGCATCGAACTACAGTAGTCTTCATATGAAAAAGAAGACAAATGTGCCTTGCCGAAATTGATCAATTCCGTCAGGTTAGTAACACATATTAAGAGACTCTCCTACCCTTTTGTGGCTTAATGAAAATCTCTAATGGTTTACTGTCGTAATCATTATCATTGTATTTAACCAACAAAATTATCTAGATAAGTCTCATTTCATAGAAAAATCGTGTTATCAAAGGGTTCAAACTAAAAAAGTTATTATGAATATCATTCAAAACAAGTTAAAGAGTATCTGTCGCTTTTGCCGACAGATTTATACCCTCAGTTAATGTACGATTACTTAAAAATATTTTGACTTCTGTCAAGATTATTCAAATGTTTAACCCTTATGGAGTAGGTCCCGAAAGAATGGGCCAATATTTGCCATTTCGTTTCGGACCTAAATAAATATGATATAAATATGTCGCAATATTTATATCATATTTGGTTTGGACTATATTGGTAACTTCCTTCACTTTACATGACATATATGATAATTTGTAGAAAATGTTAACGTGCGTGGGCTACCAGATATAGTCGGTTGAAGCATTCCATTTTCATGCTTCATCTAATACCCATAAAAATATTGGTATGAGCAAAATTACAAGAAAACCGAACATTTATATCCAATTTATGGAAAATCATAAATTCCATATTGATTTCAGGCAAAGATGGATATTTTAGATATAGCAAGTTGTAAAGAATCGCTGACTTGTTTCGCAAGTTATGAGAGATAACAGTATTGAAAATTGTGACCATTTGTAAATTGGGTACCAGAAGGGGTTCACAGATATATATCATCATTAATACAACAGACGTTGTATTATTTCGCCTTTTGGGGGAGATGCCAGAAGGAGTGAACCGATTTTTTCCATCTTGGCCCCAGATCTTGGGTTAATTGAATTATTGCCATGTGTGAAAATTGAAGACAATCGGACTCCTAAATCACATTTTATAAGAGTTGTAATTATTCAAAATTTTGACCCTTTGTGGGGGAGGTACCAAAAGGAGTGGACCGATATTGTCCATTTTCTCACCGGACCTGGCACTGATGAAATTTTAGGATTCGTAAAGTTAGAGCAAAATCGTATTATCCTTTCTCTTTCTCTGCAATAAATTATTTTCTTAGAAAATGTTGACATTTTGTGTGAGAGGTCCCAGATGGAGTGGACCGATATTGTCCATATCCGAACTCGATCTCAGTTTGACAATAATATTACGATGTACCAATTTTGGATGGACGGATTTGGTCCAAAGAGACCTAGGGTCTAAAACCGTTATTTCGATAAGGCACGTTTTGGCAATATCAAATGACATATATCCTCTGTAGCCATATGGCTGAGGGTATAATTAACACGAGAAACAAATGGGATAATATCCGATATTTTAGCAAAGGAAAGTTTAGTGATTGGTATAGAAGAATCGGCATATATGAATGAAATATGACCACATTAAGTAGTAGACTTACCCAACTATCTCCACATACTTATGAGGGCTGTTAATGGAGGATGCTGTTACCACCATTCTGTTATAAAAATCTTGATGATGTTGTTTCAAAATGGTCAGGCTTTATCCTTGAATCTTCATGATGTTTCTGGATTGTGACACACAAATTTGCGAATATTTGTCAAAGCAAATGTCTTACCCAGCATTGAATACATTTTCTCTTCTTTCTGGGCATAAACAAACATAACGGCTTCCTTATAGCGTCAAAATTATATATCTCAGGAAATTTTTGACTTTCCGCTTAATGTAATATTTTCTTGAATGTATGGTATTTTGATGGGTTTTCTTTGAACAATCTTTTCAAGTTTCAAAATTTTCTATTTCGAAATGTTCTGTATGTCAAAATAAATTTTCTTTGGCCTACTCTTCAAAAAAAAAAAAAAAAAAAAAAAACTTTCCTACGGGGTGTGAATTACAGTTGGCTGGATCGTTTAATCAGCAGAATAATTGGACGAAATGAAGTAGGTTGATAAAATTTTACTCATGTATGTTTTAGGTCCGTATAACTTTTGGTATTGAAAATGGAAATTATAGGTTTAGGCATGGTACAATAAGGAGGTAGAACTGCTTCTTAAAACTACAGAAATACAGCCCTGAGGCTATGCCCGCTTCCTGTCAAATTTGCATGCAAACAAGTTGTTTTCATTTATTTAATATTTTTACCCATTTTTAAAATCAGTTAAACAGGGCGAAATGTGAATGCAGTGTCTGGATAGTGTCTAAAGTGTCTAAATAGTTCAAAATATGATCTAAATAGCAAAACTGGGGAATGGCTTTAATGCGTGTCCCGCAATGTACGCGTATTTTGTTTTTATTTTTCAAAATAATAAATACATACCACATGATAGGCCCCGAACGACTATAGCCTTTGCTCACTTGTTTCCCTTTGTACGAAATTGATTTAGGACATTTGGAGTTTTATTAATGTCTGTCTGGCTTTTTGGCACTATAACTCTGAAGAGAGAGAGAGAGAGAGAATTTGAAGTACTTCTATAAATTTTAGATGAAATTGATCTCTCACTCCTTCTTGTACCTCAAACAGAAAACAAACGCAGTATCTAAGTTTGTTGAAACTTCAGTATTTTGATGGTTTTAATCACATTTTTCCACGGAATTGTTCCAAACATGATATTAATAGTTTGTTGCAGAACATTTTACTATGGCCCCCATATAACAGCACCTTCCGATTTTCGGTATTTTGACGTTTTTAGTCACATTTTTTTATTTTTGTAATGGGTTCTACCTCCGGTGACAGAGCATTGATTATGTACGTCTATGTAGCGTATTTTGATTTAACCCATATTTTAAACGACTTTATCCACTAGATTGTTTTTTTAGAGATTTAACTGCATTATCCAAACTGCTTCACTGGTATATTTACTGGCTGTCCTCGAATAATGCTTTATTTTAGGTCTGTTTTTAATAATCACAACCCAAAATAAGTGATGTTAAAATCTGATTTATGGATTCTGCACTAAACCGAAGTCTTTCCTGTGAATATCCGTAGTAGTTGCTACAAGTGATATGTGTAGATATTTTATTTGGTACTTGCAATAATCCTTCCAATAGTGTGGCAGGTATAATATCCAAATCAAATTTTGATTATTTTTCAGAATATTTGTCATGTTATTTCCACCACTCCTGGACATGAAACTTTACCGTTAGAATTTGATGTTTTTTAGGGTAGATTATATTTGAAATCTGACGAAATGTATAATGTGATATCTCAGTGTATTTGATGGCTCGCTTATTATGACATTACAAAAATAGGTCATGCCACCTAACCAGACATCCATAGGTTAAGGCACACCACAGACCTGTACAGACATTTTATTATCTGCGGCAAATTTGACAAATTTCATTCCCTTCTTCTTGTAGTGTGTTGAGTATTGTTAAAAAAATTACAACTGCTTGTCAGATGCAGTAATGGATTAACTGCTTCTCTTCTCCTATATTCTTTTTTGACCATTGCTCGATTGTCATGTTTTTAAAAAGTACTTGAACTTACTGATTGAGGCTAAAATATAATTATAGACACCAAGTAAACCAACTAGACAACAAAATGTATATTGTCCGCAGATTAACATCAAATCATTTACATGATTATCACAGAAGAACAATAATTTCTCAATGCCCAGATCCTCCAATAAACGCTAATTTTAACTTAAGTGTTTTAGCTTTAGAGTTGACCAATAATAAGTTTTACCTAAATGAATACAAAAAATTGAACAATGAACGAAATTTTATCAAAATTTAACAGTGGCATTACCTTATTTATGTCCTTTCTGATAAATGATAGAGGATACTCTAGATCAGACTCCCAATAGTTAAAACTCATAATTTTCTAATATAATAAAATATAATTATAGACACAAGGTCTAGTATTTTTTTACAAATATTTTTCTATATATATTAAATTTACAATTTCAAACCGTTTGTTTCTAAATTAATTCATTGGAAAATGATAACATATGTTCGCACTGCCAACCACGTTCAAAAAATGATTACACAAACGTCAAAACATTTTAATGAAAAGACACCAAATGAGGCTGAAAAGCTTATTTTTTTAATTTTAAAATTTTTTTTTATTAAAGAAAATAATAAAAATGACTGATATTTGTGTTAAAAAATAGTGTTATTTGAAAGAAATGTGTTATTAAATAAATTACATTCACGCACTTGTTTGGTGAAAGTTCAATAACAAGAAAAACAGTCTTGATTGGATTATGGTACTATATTGTCTTGGAAGGATTTCAAGGCAAGTGTAGGTATGTATGTACTTAAAAAAATAGTTATAACCTCAGTAATGTTTGTGATAAGGCACATCACAGATTGTCTTATTATCTACGTTCCCCTTTTGTAGCATTCTCTTGTAGTTGGTGGTGGAGTACTACACCGGTGTACTAACCTTCCATAGAGTTTTAAGGTCATTCCACTCAGATTTGGTGTCATAAAGACAATTACCTTCATCTTCCTGGCAAAAGTAGGCTGAATTCCAGTTTAGGCTGAATTTACTACCGGCTCATTTAGCAGTATGCCTTAAGCTGCTTTTATGCGTTGTGGTAATAAGCATAATAACTATAACCGATTTCTCAAGATTTCTGGCATTTTTGTATGTAATAAAGCATTGCAATGTTTCTACCTGTTACCACTAATTGTTCTGTTGATTCTGCTAAACTTCCTGTAATTAGGAAATTATTTGATCCAACATACTGGTTGTGATTTTCCGCCTGTAATAGTTAATGAACATGACTTATAGCACCCTACAATGACATCTACGTGCAGGTAATTTATCCCACTTTGTTCTTCTGGGATACCTATAAGAATTGAAAATTTGTCGTACTGTGGTCCAATAAGAAACGTCCCAGTCTTAATGAGATAGTCTTCCACATTGGTAAGGACTATATGGTTGACATACTTCCTATGACTCACTATAATCCACCCTTAAATTATTAGTCTCCGCCAGGCTCCGCACCGCACTGGATATGCGAATAGTGGTCAATACAATGTCACTCAAACGTAATATACAAAATGACTACGAGTTAATCATGATGTACGTTCATTATGAGGTATATATATAGCATTTTCAGATTAAATGAAACCTTTTGCAATTGAAATGAATTTTTTTGCAACGGAATTGAAACCTTTGGCAGCCGAAATGAAACCTTTTGCAACCGAAATTAAACTTTTTGCATATCAAATGAAATTTTTAGAAGGAAAAAAACCAAAACATTTTTATTTTTAGTAGGTTTAAAATTAAATCAACTAATTATAACTAATATATAATTAAAGAGGAATTTCTATAGATTATAAATATCTATATTTTTATAAAATTATTTCTTAAAGCTTCCATAAAACGGAAGTGTAGATGTAGAAAGATTGAAAAAAGTTTGTCAAGGTCTTTTTTTTCCAAAGATAGGTACATTTTACAACCTCCTCCATGGAAAGGATGGTATATTAAATTTGTCATTCGGTTTGTAACACCCCTAAATATTCGTCGTAGACCCCATAAAGTATATACAATCATGATCAAAGTTTATTTAATGATTTCCACTTATCTGTCTATTGAAATCACGATATTGATATGAAATTTAATTTATAGCTTTGAAATTTAGCACCACATTGACTTGTGTCTAGGATGTTTGGTATTGAAAATGATATCGGGATGTTTCAATAAGGCATTACATTGTGTACGCGATAGAGCGAACCATTCAACAGCCCACATAGCAAGACTGCTCTATCTCCATAATCAATAAAGCTGCGAAGCGTGAATCCTTTATTAGGTATTTAATAGATACTATAACTATAAAAAGCTTAATTTCGCATTTCAGACCTGGCCATACCTATAAAGGCCAAAATTTGTTTAAATTTCTCTTTCATTTGATTTGCAAAAAAATTCATTTCGGTTGCTAATGGTTTCATTTCGGTTGCAGAAGGTTCCATTTCCGCTGCAAAAGGTTTCATTTCCACTGCCAAAGGTTTCATTTCCACTGCAAAAAGTTTCATTTCCGCTGCAAAAAGTTTCATTTAATCTGAAAATGCTATATATTCTTGATCGGCTTAAAATTCAAAGTCAATTTAGCTATGTTCGGCTGTCTGTTGTAATCTTTCGAACAGATATACTTTTCTACAGATAAAGTTTCTTAAACAACTGAGCCTAACGGCTCTTATGCATATACAACCTGGCTACAAGAATGTAGTGATTTCGCACCGATTATAACTGCAATATAGTTTATTTCGATTTATTGTGTACCAAATGTGTAATTTGTTCCCAAACAAGATGGATTTTGGAACACCGAGTGGAATTAATACAATAAATGTGTAGGTTTTATCCGATTTGATGTTTAAGCATTTTCAGAGTCTTAAACAAAGTCTATATGTAACGCGGTCTATATAAATTGTATTCAGTAAAGGACATAGCATGCATGATAAGAATATCTCTAGTAAATGTTGTCAAAGTCTCGCTTTTAATTTCAATATCATATCGTACTACGCCTTCACATGATACTTAATTACAACTTCTTATCACATGAACTCGTGGATTAACAAATTCCTTGGCACTAAACCTTTTCTTGGCTACCATTACTTGATTAACATGGTTTTCAAAACGAATTTTACCCTACTAATTGAGGTTAAAATATGATACAGAAACCAAGTAAACCAACTAAATAACCAAATGCAGATGTATATCGAATCGAATGACCTGACCTTTTATTGGCCATGTAATATTGACCCTATATTTATCATAATTTTTACGTAAATGAAGACAAAAAATTTAACAATATACTGAGAATTTTGTCAAAAATTAATCTGTATTACCTTATTTATGCCCTTTAACGTTAAGCCAGACTCCCGATAAATAAAATTTACAACTTTCTAGTATATTTTAGCAAATATTTTTCTACATATATTTAATTCAAACCGTTTTTCAAAACTAATTCATTGGACAATGATAACATATGTTCGCATTGCCAGCCACACCAAAAAATGATAACACTCGTCAAAACGTCAAAGAAAACTTATAAAAGTACGTCAAAGGAGGTTGAAAGCTTATTTCAATTTTAAAATTGTTTCATTGAAGAAAATAATAAAAGTTAGTAACATCTGTGTTGATAATATGATCTTTGTGCAATTGTTATTAAATGAATTACATTTACTCATTTGTTTGGGCAAATGTTTAACAACAACATAAGCAAAACTGAATATTTACTGCATTATGTTACTATGTGGTCTTCATTGTGTTACTTGTGGTGAGATTCAATTTTTGTAAGGTAAGTACATGTAATTAAAAAAGGTAATAACTTCAGTAAAATTTGTAAATAATGTCCAGATCTGGCGAAAAGTGTGTAGGTCATTGAACTATTGTTGTCATACGGACCACTTAACCTAAATACGTGAACTCTTACAAACCTAGTTCTAATATTCCATTAACTACAATCAGGGCTGAAATTGTATAGCTCTAATATTACAAAGCTAGACGATATGGCCAAAACGTGCCTAGTCGAAATAACGGTTTCAGACCCTAGGTCTCTTTGGACCATATCCGTTTCAGGATATTTGGAGTCGATCTAGCGATATCCCACCGTCTGTCTGTCTGTCTGTCTATCTGGCTGGTGTGCACGATAACTCTCGAAGGGGGTATCCGATTTGGTACAAACTTGGTACATCGTAATATTTTTGTCAAACTTAGATCGAGTTCGGAGATGGGCAATATCGGTCCACTCCTTCTGGTACCTCCCCCACAAAAGGTCAAAATTTTACATATCCATTAAGATCATAAAACGCGAAATCAACATCCGATTCCATTCAGACTTGTCATATCTGAATAGTTCTATCAACACAGGATCTGTGCTAAAAATGGTAGAGATCGGTACCTTCCTCACAAAGGATCACACATCCCATTATGTCCACTAACAAAAAATCTTTTGTAAAATTGTATATATCGGTCCACTCCTTCTGGTACCTCACCCACAAAGGCTAAAATTTTTGAATACCCAGAAGCTCATAAAAAGCGAAATTAACATGCGATTCCATCCAATATTTCCATCAACACAAGATCTGTTGTAAAGATATTGGAGGTCGGACCATTTCTTTTGCTACCTGCTCAAATTTCACACATACAAACATTTTTGCTAATACAATATCTGTTGTGCAGATGATATATATCTGTGAATCTCTTCTGGTACCTCACTCACAAAGGGTCACAATTTTCAATACTTTTATCTATCATAACTTGCCAAAAACCTGAGATGAATAAGGAATTTATGATTTTCCACAAATTTCCCAAATGATCTTGTAATATTGCCCATACCAATATTTGTATATGTATGAATCATGAAATGGAATACTTCGGTCGACTATATCTGATGCCTCACACACATGTTAACATTTTCCAACAATTATCATATTATGATATAAAGTGAAGGAAGTTAACAATATAGTCCAAACCTGGCTCGTGGCAATATTTATATCATATTTATTTAGGCACGATACGAAATGACCATTATTGACTCATTCCTTCGAAACCTACTCCATAAGTGGTTTAATATTTGAACAATCATAACAGAAGTCAAAATATTTTTAAATAATCGTACATTAGCTGAGGGTATACATTTGTTGGCAAAACCGATAGACACTTCTTAACTTGATAAATTCTTAAAGGTCTGGGAACAACTCTAGTTGAGTAAAAACTCGATTTTTCGACATTTTTATAGAGGTAGGTATTTTACCCTGATTCCGTGTTCAAGGCCCAGTGGTAAACTAGTGGACTAGTGGTAAAATAATAGGGTTATTTATAGTGGGTTCGGAATTTATAGTCAAATGATCGATTTTGTGGAGCCGGATTTTTTATAAAAGCCACAAAAAGTTGAAAAGGGGCCCATTATGGAGGTCAACAAAATTGATGCCAAATTATAGCTGACACTATTACTTTTTCAAAATGC